AGAGCTGACGAATAACGTTTATGTGATTCTGGTCGAGGCGACTTGTTACTACGAAGATCTTTACAGAAGAAATGGAAAGGTGGAATATCTTGACCGCTTCGGAATTATGAGATGATTTTCAAAAACGATTAGTGAGGAATACAAAAAAAAAGTAGCAGAGCCAATAACTTTAATCGAGATAGAAAAGTCAATTGAAAAGCTGAACACATCAACACGTCCAGATCCAGATGGATTGACATCTGAACTATCCAAACAACACAAAACCCTTTTTGCCGAAAAGCTAATTTCTTTATTTTTAGACGAGCACTCAAAGAAAACCGATGCCAAAAACCTTTAACTTAGCACTTATCAAACTGCTATCGAAAGGAAAAGTCATCAAAACAGCTGCTGACTTCAGACCGATCAGCCTCATTAATACAAACCAAAAGATTTTTTCGCACCTGCTCGCAGCTAGGTTTAAGAAAGTGCTACAAAAAGTCATATTGCCTGACCAATATGCATACCTAGAAAAAAGAAGTATATATAGCTTCAATGAAAATTAGAATTGATACACCACTACAGAATCAGTGCGTATTGAGTAGTGACTTTAGAAAAGCATTCGACCGCGTGGATCGGAAGTATTTAATTCAAATTCTGCGTAAAATGAACTTTGCTCTGCTGCTGGTTGACATGCTTGAAAACTTGTACGGAAAAGCAAATGCGATTATAGTTGTGGGAGTTTTTTTTTCAGTGAAGAAATATCACTGGGAAGGGGTATACGACCAGTTTGTCCACTATCCGCCTCATTTTGTATTGTAGCTTTGGAGCCGCTTCTTGAAATCTTGAGACGACATCAGTGGTATGAAACCCCAATGAAACGACGAGTGGTAGCTTATGCAGATACTGTTCATGTTTTTTTACATGCGAATGACATGAATCGGCTTTTCCTCGAAATCTATAAATTTTGCCGAGGAACACAATTTAAAAAAAGGGGCAAAAGTAAGATCCTAAGCGTTGACAATTTGCCGGAACAACCCAATGTATCGTACATAAAAATATTCGGTTTTTTCCTAGGGTATTGACAATTGACTAAAACCGAATTGCCCGCAGCGGAAAAAAATTGCCCTAAACTTGGTATCTAGCTAATAAAAGTAGGAAAAACAACCAACTGGATTTGAAAACGAGCTAAATTAACGGGTTTTTTAAAGAACATATACTAAAAATTGCTTTTCAAACTGTATACCAGATACTTTGGGTCAATTTTGAATTTTTCAACACACAATATTCTGGTCATCATAAGTACGAAAAAATAGGGCTGCAGTATGTTCGAAAATCCATATGCAAGATAACTGAAAAAGCAACTTCTTTTTATACTTTAAGTTAGTCATAAAAAACTCGACAATTGACATTTGATTCCATTTTGTAACACTTCCCTTGTTAACTTAACTCTTTTTAAAACTACCTTGATACTTTTTAATTTACGTTTGATAAGTTATTTTCCCATTCCCAAAGAAACTGAGGAATCTATATGCTAAGTGTAGTTTTTCTATGCAGTACGCTTTTTACAAGAAAGTATTGAATGTTCTGATCGAACCCAGATAGAATGTACTTGAGCCAAGCGTGCATGCTACACACTCTTCCAAATTCGCTTGGAGTCTATCTAAATTGCTCAATTAATTCTTTAGAAATATTTGTTTTGACTTTCCTTATGAAAGTAACGGAATACTTTTGCTCGGGGTGGGTTTTTTTTAGACAAATTTTGACATTTTAACTAGCCATTGTTGACGCAATTTTTTCAATATCAATCAAAAACTATTGTTGTCTTGAGCTTAAATTTGAAAATATATTTCACCTGTGTTATTTTTTTTAAGTAAAAGGGACTTATTTTTTGCCATTTCGGACAATTAACGCGCGATATATTTCGCACTTTTAACGCGTGAGCGGAGATTTTTTCCCTTTAAGAAATCATTCCAAATTGGTTTAAGGAAGCTTATATGCCATAATTGATTTGTTAATAGGAGCGAAGTCTATCACTTTGTACTTAAAATTACTTGAAGAACTTTAGTAATAATAAACTAATAATATTTGATTTTATGGGAACTATGTACAACGTAGTGAAAAAGTCTTTGTTGTTCCGACTTTTGCAACGAAAGTAACGGAATATTTGTGTTCGGGGTGGATTTTTTTTTCTTCAGACAGATTTCGACTTTTTAACTAGCCTTTTTTGACGAAATTTTTAAATATCTTTCAAAAGGTATTGTTGTCCTGAGCTTAAATTTGAAAAAATTTTTACCGGTTATTGTTTTTAGTGAAGTTATCAGGGTGAGGGTTTAAAAATTGTGGTTGCCATTTCGGCCAGTTTTGGATAATTAACGCGCGATATATTTCGGCTATTAACGCGTAAGCGAGGTTTAATCCGTCTTAAAAATCGTTCGAAATTGGTTTAAGGAAGCTTGTAAGCCATAATTGTTTTGTTAAGAGGAGCACAATTTATATCTTTCTACTTAATATGACGTCTTGGGGATGTTCTCACAAAAAATCTCAATATTTTTTAAAAAGTTTTTTTTTTTCATTTTTATTTATTTTCATATAAGTTTTTCATGTTATTAATGCTCCATATACCCCAAAAGGCAGTCGGAACATTCAAAGCTTTGCCCTGATACGAGCAGTTTTGTTGGCTGTTTATTATTCCACACACAAGACTAGAGTTCTGTTAAAAGTTTGTAGTTTTGAAGCTTTTGGCGCATACTTTTCATCTACTAAAAGCAACAAATAACCGCTAGAGTTATGGAAAAATAATTATGAAACAATAAGTCATCATTTTCATCCAACACAGTTATTGCCACTGGATAATAATCAAACTTTCAATTTTTTCACGGAGACTTCTATGAAAAAATCAGGAGACTTCTATTACATTAGGTTTTTATGCATAGACATTCGATGCGAGTATATCAATTTTGCGAAACTATTATACCAATTATATAAATTTTTCGAGACTTCTAAGAAATGAAAATGTCTGTTGTTTTTAAGCATAGACCTTCGATGTGATTATATAAATTTTTTGAAACAATATTGAAAAGAACTCAAAACAGTCATCAGGATTTAACCCTTAAATGTCAATATTTGTTTTCATTGTTGTCTGGCATCTTCAGTTTGTCATGTTTCTTCCTTTTTAAGTTTTAGTTTATAATTTTTAAAATAAGAGTAGAAAATAACACGCTGAATTACAGAAAAAACTTTTGGATGCAATGATAAGTTCATCTCCTTTTGATTTTGAATTCAGCCATTCTTGTACAATCATTATTTGGTTTCCAAAAAATCGAAAATCAAAATCTTCCTGCTGCCTCAACCTTGTTTTTTTAAATTTCGGTTCAAAATATGTACTTTTTGTCATTTTAAAAAACAGCTATGACAATTTTTTTTTATTCAGAAAAAGCTTAATTTTTTAATTAGAAAGAAATTTGACAGAAAGTTTTTGTAGTCCGAAAAATTTTAATGCTCAGAGCACAGAATTTAAAAAAATTTTAGGTTGAAATTAGAAATTTGGGACTGCTTTGACTACTATGCAGCAATGTGGAATAATCGACGCGCGTTACCTTTGTCCATTTAAAGAGTAAGCAGCAATTTGAATAAATTCAATTTGAACTGAGTCAAAAAACTTCTTATTATTTTCATTACCTGCCGTAAAATTATGTTGGGAATTTTGAAGAAAAGATTTTAAAAATGCGCTGAGAGTGGTTATTTTTATACCAGGTTCGAGTTTTTTACTAGTCTTTTTTCAATGATATTTTTTACGCAAACTGAAAGACATTGATGCCATAAGAATCATATTTTAAGTGTGATCTTTTTCGTCAAATTTTAGCGCTTTGAACTTTTTCTACAAGTTTATATATTTAAGACGCTGCATATCAAACATCCTTTACTTCTGATTGTTCGAAAAACTAGTAGGAACTTTGTATTTGGGTGTGTTTGGTTTTTTTTTTCCACGCATGCCAAATCAGGTGCCACAAATTAGCATCGGAATTGTTCCACGCAAAATCTGGAACCATAAATAATCGTGGGAATGGGTGATAACCCAATTGAAGCCCTTCCAGTCGTGATTTGAATGACGCTTAACCATATTCAAAAGTTTATCCCAGTGTTGAGAAAAACTGGTTTATTTTTTTTCGATTTTAGTAAAAATTGAGCCAGTGAAGCTACTTGTAGACTAAAACTTAGTTACTATAGAAGAGTTAAGTTTTGAATTTTTCATTTATTGCTTTTTTGGCAAAAAAAAATTCTAAATAAAAATTTTTTTTGTGCAAAATTTAACAAAATTTGCGAAAATTTTTTGTCAGTATCGAGAAAAACTGGCTTGAAAAATTGATTTTTATTCCAATTTCGAGCAAACAAAGAGCAAGCAGGCTTATTACAGCTAATTTATGCTTATTTAAGCTCTAAAAACATAGTTTTACGCACTTTAAATTGATCTTAGAGTTTTTTAGTGCTATTTGGGAAGCAAAAACATCAAAAAAAAATCAACATTTTTTCTGCAAAAAAAGTTTTAAAAAATTAAGTTTTAATTTTTTCAAATTATTTTCTTTCTGATTTTCTAGGTTTTTTAGTGATTTTTTCTTCAAAACTTCCTGTCCAATTTGCTTATATCACTTAAGTTGTCGAATAAAACTTTATAAATTTTAAATTCAAGTCAGATCCTATTATCAAACCACGCAAAAAAAACTGAAATACTTCGAATTTTTTATAGTTTTTTTCTAATGACTATGGTCGAACAATCTGTGCTACTTGCACAGTAAACGACTACTCTTGTTTTTGCTTCGTTTTTTGCATGCAAAATGCAGCCACTTCTTCAATCATACTTTGTAATTGTATGTTTTTTAGAACTTTTCTCCTGAAATCATTCACTTATTTTACCACAAATATGATTGATTGCATATTCTTCATCAAGTAATTTAAACAATTTTAACCATGCCAACATTTTCTTTGTTTTTGTTGGTTCTCAAACCAAACTATTTTAACAGCGAACAACAAGCTAAATTCTCTTTATATATTCAATTTCATTGATTGGGTTTTCTATATCCGCGTTAGATTTTGTTGAAGAAACTGACAGCTCAAAAGTTGTTTATGATGGGAACCACTGAATCACAATATACAACAATCACTACTCCAGTTTCAGTCGAGTCTTCCTCTGAGTCCATGATGACTTATGACCAGCTGGCAGCCTTGATGGTTTCACTCTCCCAGACCACCTGGCAAATGCAACTCTGGCCCTTTGCCTCAGTTCTAGTAATGGGACTCTGGATCCTGGTCATTACCCTCATGCGAGCCACTCAAAGGAACAACCACGAGGTCAACTCTGAAAATGGCGGGAACTCCGCGGGACAAAATGGCGGAAACAAGAACAGTGGTTCTGTTGCGGTCGTAAGGTTCTGTTGCGAAAATTTTTTGTGGTTCTGTTGCGAAATTTTTTTGTCAGTATCGAGAAAAACTGGCTTGAAAAATTGATTTTTATTCCAATTTCGAGCAAACAAAGAGCAAGCAGGCTTATTACAGCTAATTTATGCTTATTTAAGCTCTAAAAACATAGTTTTACGCACTTTAAATTGATCTTAGAGTTTTTTAGTGCTATTTGGGAAGCAAAAACATAAAAAAAAAATCAACATTTTTTCTGCAAAAAAAGTTTTAAAAAATTAAGTTTTAATTTTTTCAAATTATTTTCTTTCTGATTTTCTAGGTTTTTTAGTGATTTTTTCTTCAAAACTTCCTGTCCAATTTGCTTATATCACTTAAGTTGTCGAATAAAACTTTATAAATTTTAAATTCAAGTCAGATCCTATTATCAAACCACGCAAAAAAAACTGAAATACTTCGAATTTTTTATAGTTTTTTTCTAATGACTATGGTCGAACAATCTGTGCTACTTGCACAGTAAACGACTACTCTTGTTTTTGCTTCGTTTTTTGCATGCAAAATGCAGCCACTTCTTCAATCATACTTTGTAATTGTATGTTTTTTAGAACTTTTCTCCTGAAATCATTCACTTATTTTACCACAAATATGATTGATTGCATATTCTTCATCAAGTAATTTAAACAATTTTAACCATGCCAACATTTTCTTTGTTTTTGTTGGTTCTCAAACCAAACTATTTTAACAGCAAACAACAAGCTAAATTCTCTTTATATATTCAATTTCATTGATTGGGTTTTCTATATCCGCGTTAGATTTTGTTGAAGAAACTGACAGCTCAAAAGTTGTTTATGATGGGAACCACTGAATCACAATATACAACAAGCACTACTCCACTTTCGGCCGAGTCTTCCTCGGAGTCCATGATGACTTATGACCAGCTGGCAGCCTTGATGGTTTCACTCTCCCAGACCACCTGGCAAATGCAACTCTGGCTCTTTGCCTCAGTTCTAGTAATGGGACTCTGGATCCTGGTCATTACCCTCATGCGAGCCACTCAAAGGAACAACCACGAGGTCAACTCTGAAAACTCCGCGGGACAAAATGGCGGAAACAAGAACAGTGGTTCTGTTGCGGTCGTGAGCAAGGAGGATGGTAGGGAGTCGGAAGGATCTGGCAAGGATCTGGACTGTAAAGCGGGCAACTTCGGAACAAACATCAAGGTTGCAATCGGTGAACCGGACTCGCCGGATGCGAAGTACAGACTAAACGACTACTGGAGCCTGGACATGAATGAATCTGTGCTAAGGCTGTAACAACAATTTTAAATTTTGTCGGTGAGGGAAAATAATTTTAAAGTAAATAATGGAAATGTTTTAAAAGAAAATAATGACTCTATAGTATCGGAGCATATAAATTTGCATACGTTACCTTGAAATTTTTTTAATTTAAATATTATTTCAGCTCGAAAACTTCAGTTTTTGAAAAGAAGTTCAAATTGAGCTTTTGCTGAGTTTAATATATATCTAATTGCTTAGATATCTAATCCCCCCTTAAATCCGCTACTGTATATATGTTAAATATACAGCTAGACCAGTGGTTTTTTATTCAGCTAGAAAAAAAAACACTTTTTAGCTGTTAAAAAACCAGTGAGCAAAAAACTTATACATACTGGTTTTTTTTTCAGCTAGACCTGTGGCGTGACAGAAATTGAAACTCAATTCAAAACCAGTGGCGTGACAGAAATGTGGTCGACTTTTCTTGTGACAGAAAAGTCGACCAAAATTTCAAATTTTTTCTTCAAAAAACCGGTCACCAAGAAAAATTTCTGTCACTCCACTGGTCTGCTGATGTTGTATTCGGTCATTAATGAAATGACTGCTCTAATTTTAATTAATTTTTTTGAAATATTCGCAATATGTGAATACTCAATTCTAATTGGTTTTCCATCCTTCAGTCAAGTTTACCATCAAACGTCAGCGCTGAATTTAGAAACGGAGACAATTTACTTTTCTAGTAAGCGAAGCTGTAGTAACCCAAAGTAAACTTTGACAAGACTGTATCCTTGATTGTTCCGACTGCCCCTAACTAGTCTAGAGTGTTTTTTGGAAAGGAAAAATGGGAAAAATGGGAAAATAGATGCTCAGATAGGGTAACAACAAGCTGCAAAAAAGTTCAATTATTGAAATCACATCACCACATTTGAAATTGGAACAAAATGAGAAAAATTTACAGTCATTGAACAAAGAAGTTGCACCTTTTTAGTTTCAGCCAGCATGTGGATGATTTTTGTCATAATTTTTTTATCTTTTACTCTGCAGCCATTTCAGATATAGAACTGAAAGTGTTAAAAATGCTAGAACACATAATATGCAGTTAGAACACTAATTATTGCCCTGAAGACATTTTGAGACCACAAATCTCACGATATCAACCCATAGCAATAGACAGATAGTCCCTAAATTCTAACACAGTGGCCATTTTTTGAAACAGCTCATAACGAATAAACTTGAAAGAAAAACATTACGAGGCCAAACTGTGCATTCTCTGCATTGTAAGCGGAATCCGCAACAGGCCAAAACCAGATTTTTCGCGGAATCCGCAACATTGCTACTTTTCTTCTATCTTCTATGTTGTTTTGGTTTCCACAAACAAATACCTAAATCATTGTACCGCTCAAAATCGCTCGAAAAATAGGCGAATTTGCGGAATCCGCAATTGTATTTGCGGAATCCAAAACAGTTTGTGGAATCCACAAACAAATGATAAAACATTTGTATCGGTAAGTTGAGCTGTTGCGGAATCCGCAACTGTAAGTGGAATCCGCAACTTGTAAGTGGAATCCGCAAATTGTAAGTGGAATCCGCAAAGTCTAAGTGGAATCCGCATTTTATTTGCGGATTCCCTTTACATATATTTATATGTGTAGTAGCCTTTAAAATTAACCCTTTTAAATACATGATTTGATTTCACTAGAATAGAAATTTACTAGAGTAGAAATTTACTAGAATAGAAATTTACTAGAATAGATCAGTGTTTGGGATTAATGGAATCCCAATTACTGACCAGTATTTGGGATCGATGAAATCCCAAATACTGAACTAATTTAATTCGACGATTTGCTATGCGTTGGGTTTCTAATCACTCTCAACCTAATGACTCCAAATAAGGATTATATTCCATATTTATTCCACATTATTCCAATTTTTGGGATTTCATCAATTCCAAATACTGACCAGTATTTGGGATTGATGGAATCACAAATACTGAACTAATTCGACGATTTGCTATGCATTGGGTTTCTAATCACTCTCAACCTAATGACTCCAAATAATGGATGTATTCCATATTTCTTCCACATTATTCCAGTTCTTGGGATTTCATCAATCCCAAATACTGACCGGTATTTGGGATCGATGGAATCCCAAATACTGACCTAATTTGGCGATATGCTGTGTGTTGTGGTTCCAAACACTCTCAACCCAATGACTACAATTATTGCATTTATCCGGCGTTATGCTTTCAAAATTAGTATTTGGGATTGACACAATCCCAAATACTGACTGACCTAGTTTGTCGATATGCTGTGTGTTCCATACACTCTCAACTCAATGGCTCCAAATATTGAAATTGTTCGGTATTGTGTTTCCAAAATACTAAAAGATGACATCCACCGATTTAGGTAACCAATGTCTTAAGACTTGTTTGTGGATTCCGATGACAACCGTTAAGTCTTTGCTTTTAAATTCCGCATTGCTAGAGATAAGAATTCCAGCTCAGCTTTTAATTGCTCATATGCAAGTTCAGTATTGAACAAAACTCGGAATCCACCTACAGTTTGCGGAATTCACTAACAGTTGGGGAATCCAGAACAACTAGCTATGTTTGCTTTTTGCGGAATCCGCAACAAAGTAAATGTGTCGACAAAATTTACGTTACATGTATATGTATGCGGAATCCACTGAAATGTTGTTTGTGGAATCCACTTACATTTTGGAACAAACATTAAGACTTGTCTCTGGAATCCAGGAACTTACAGACACAAAATTGTGCTCCTATCCAGTGCACAGTTTGGCTTCGTAATGAAACAAAGTTTTAGCCAAGCTACAAAACAATTGTCGCTTCTTTTAATTTCAGCAATCATTGAACGAGTTTGTTCGACACTTTTTTGTCAGCAGTTATTTAGGATATTGAAATTAGAGTCTGACAAACGCTTGAACACACTTTTAGTACAGGTAGAACAGTAAATTTTGCCCTAACAATTGCTTTGAGACCACAAATCTCCCGCTGTCGGCAATCGAGTGATCCATGAATTCAAGAACGTTAGACATGGAGTGCAAAAGATCTGCCAAATTGCGCAATTGGTAGAAACAATTTCGCCACAGTTTAATTTGAAACAAAACACAAAGCTACAATCACGAGACAAAGAAGCTGCACTTTTTTAAGTTCAACTAGCATCCAACAAAACTTTTCAGCAATTTTTGTCGTTTTCTCTGAAGTTAATTACGATAAAGAATTGAAAATCCGATAAAAATAGTATAGAATTCTTAAGCGTGCAGATAATTACTTATTGCCGTGAAAACGTTTTGAGACCACAAACATACGGCCATTGTCCATCCACGGACCCCTGAATCTAACAGTGTTAGAGATGGAGTCCCAAAAAAAAACAGAAAATCCAAGTTTCAAAATCAAGCCAACATAACAAAACAAAGCAATGTATTGGAATGAAAAAAGCAAACGCTACTATCTCGCGGGACAAAGAAGGTGCACTTTTTTAGTTTCAGCAAGCATTGAACGACTATTTTTGCCAGTTGTTTGCCGTTTTCTCTGCAGTTTATTTTGGGATTTGAATTGAAAGCGTTACAAATAATAATATTTTTTTATTGTTCAGGTAAAACACCTTTTTTTCCCTG